AGATCATTAGCTTGAGTCGCCGATCTCATGATCCTTGAGGATTCGAGTCAGCTTGCGTCTGGGCTGATGCACCGGCCTGGAGCTTTCGGATTCTGTGTCTCCCTCTTCGCCCCTCCCGTTCATGCTTGTCTCTGTCTGTCCATAAATAAATAAAGACGTTGAAAAAAAATTAAAAAAAAAAAATTAATATATAGTGTTAATGTAGATTGAACAATAGTTTTATAACCACCACAAAAGTGTTAGCTTTTATTCTTTTCCTAGTTATATGTAAAAACACTATATAAAAACCACCCAAGCAACGTGAGGATATAAAAGCAACGAAGAAAAAACATAAAGTCACTATCATGGTAGAGAGGATTTAAATAATCACTCTCAGAATTTGACATAATTTTTCCACAAAGAAGCCAGAGTCTAGAAGGACTGGTATATCACGATCAACAAATGGTAAAACACACACTCTAGGTCTATGAGTAGTAAAATATATTACATTTTATTTAGAACATCATTATTGGAACCAAAAGAAGATCTTCCATAAAATTGAATTTTATTCCCCATGCTTCTCATGATCCAAGAAAAACTAAATCAAAAAATAAAAAATGCCAAAAAACAATGAACAAATAGTGGAATAGTGTACCTACTTCCAAGCAACTTTTGTGAATGTAGACTCCTCTTCTCTGCAACGTGAGATGCATGGCAATCAAGTGGCTGAGTCCCACCTAGTTATGCTTGCCCAGAATGGCCCCACTGGCTAGTGTTCCCAAATCATTAGTGTAGTAGATCTCCTCAGGAGGAAGATTTAGAAATGTAATGTAATTATATGTACCAGTCGATTACAAGAGGTCATTCTATCTTGCATTTGGTTTGGGGGTCAGGACACTAGTAAAGTTCAACAAAGCTCAGAATACTCTCACACAGGGTAGAACTCCATGATCAAAGTGCCAATAAAGCCCCGCATAAACACCCGTTTTAAAAAGTGACTCACGAGGCAACAGTGACTGCAGATGTGATCCGTGTATTTGAAATTAAATTAGTCTCATGGCTATAACCACCCTGGGCAGCCCTGATCTCGTCTAAATTAAATTAGTATGACCATAGTAAAAAGTCTTCATAAAACTAGCAATTCAAGTTCAATTTTTACAGCAAGAACCAAATTCAAGAACTTTCTTTCTTTTTTTTGCGACAATGAATATGAGCATATAAGACTTGTTAGAGTTTGCTGCAGAAATATTTCTTTTATTACTAAGAACTCAAAAAGGTATTCATATTTATTCTCAGAATAGATAAATGCGATAAATGAGTACACTGGAGAACTGGTAAATCATTTAATTTGTTATTTGAATTATATTATATGTAAGTCAATTCTGAGCAAAACACCGTCATTTCAGAACTGTGCTTCCCAGCGAACTATAATCTTTTCCACGTTCTCTGAAAAAATATTTCAACAATGTTCTTTCTTAGTACTTGTAGATGGTACTAAGGTAAAAGCAATGTTCTTTTTTTAAAATTTTTTTTTAACGTTTATTTATTGAGACGAGAGAGAACAGACACACGTGGGGGAGGAGAGACAGAAGAAGAAGAACGAATATGTAACGCTCCAGGCTCGAGTATCAGCACCTGACGAGAACCTAACTTCAGCCCGTGAGATCATGACCTGCAAAGCCAGCTGGACCTTATATACATTGACTTCAAGTCATGAACCAAGCTCTTTAATTATCTTAGAATGGATGTGGGGAGGAAAATGAAGGAACATGGGTTCTAGTCTTGGCTCATGATCTTCTCTGTGTTTAACCCATCAATTTTAAAGCATTGGATAATAGTTTGCCTTACTTGTCAGTGTTGGGATGCGAGACACTACAAAGTCACTACAATGGCCTCCCCAGCTCTCAGACTTTCCTCTCTCTATCTCTCTTTATTTCCACCTACATTTCCCTCCCCCCTCACGCTGCTGAGCCATTGTTTCTCTAGGTGTTCCTTGACTGTTTAACCCTAGGTCTCAACACCACGACATTCCTCTATATGCATCAATGCTCATGTCTCTGAGCTTCGGCTCACCCCCCTCATTTCCCTCCTGGCATCAGGTCTCTGTTCTAATGCCACTTTTTTTTCAGAGGTAGTCATAGACCAT